CATTTGTGTTCAGGGCTTCTCTGTGGCTCAAAAAGTGAGGGGGTAAGGAGGGCAGCTGCATGAAGAATGCAACACGTGGAAGAAGTGGTTATAAATCAATGGTCACAGTCAATGCTGTTGAACACGCTAACAGTTATGGTTAGTTTTCGGTTTCAAATTACAGTTGTCAGTCAGAGTTAGGGGTTGAGGTTTCAAGATAGGGTCAGGGTTTCGGATGAAAATGATACAATCTATGATGTAACCTATAAGATTATATCATGGAAGACAGAGGCTGGTGCTATGCAGGTTTTCCAGTAAAGCAACAGCTAGTGTTAACCCAAATGATGAAATAGCTTCCACGAGGAAATGTTAATGAAATTACGTAATCTAGCAACCTGGTACCCACATGAGTAGTGGGTCTGTTCTAAAAATAGCTCAGTAATCAGACATTGTGATTTCCTAGAAATGGTGTAGATTTGAAAATGTAAATACTTGCAGAAATTTACAGAGCAGATTTGCTATTTCAGAAGTGGCGTCATGTCAAACTGGTATCCTTGGCATTCGTCATCCATTATGTCCAACCGTTAAAAAACAAACACAGTGAATGGAGGGAGCGTCAACCAGTCATGTTGTGAGCGACACTTTCCTCTTTCATTCGGAAATGTTGACATAATTTTCGACGTCAGGCATGTTTTCCTTCTCAGTTTTTTTTCCAACACACCTGCTCCGCTAGCTACTGGGACGCGAGCCTTGCTCGCTTACTCACTCACTCGATTAAAAAAACATTTAAAAAGGAAGTTTACCTCCTCGCCCGGCGAGAATGGACATTTCTTCTTTAGACGGGCTCTGTTGACTAAATTTCCCGTGTGCAGCCTCAGAGTCTTCGCGTGGCTGAGCAGGCACCTCTTCGCCTCCGCGTTCGTGTTGTGAGGATCCATGTGTGCGTCTTTTGTCTGGAGGAAAAAACCGTCGACGCGAAGAAACCTGCTAACAAGAAGCTGCCGCCTACCTTTCACTTTTTATATGGCTGCACCTTCTGAGAAGCGACCAATCGAGTAGACGCGTGCGAGATAGAATGGGAAAAGAGCAAAGTCAGAATGACTTGGTGCTTCCGTCGGCTGTAACACAGTTATGGGGTCAGACGTAGAGGCCGGCCGGGTCACGCCCACCGGAGGTGTGGCCGAAAAACGTCAACACAAGTTGCTTTTAATTTCCACTATACAGCCCCAAACTATGATTTTATATTAAAACTATACCCATTTTTAACATTTTCCAAAACGTCAAGATTTATTTTAATTTTTCTATTCTCGCTGGATACACCGGAAGCGGAAGTGGAAAAAAAAATCTTTTTTTTTTTTAACTTTATTGGAAAAACCGGAGTATCCAGAGCCGGCCTTTTTACGCATGGCGTCGACGTCATGTAAATAGATTTACAGACGTTCATCATTCCCGAGCAACAGTTGAACGTTTTTTTCCCTCACAAACCCTTAGTTGTCAAATATGCAGATAAGGTTTAGCTGTTTCACTGTGCATTTTAATTTTCAATGTAATTTGTTTTACATTTAATGTATTTTTAGATAGATTTGTATAATAGTGAAAGAACACATGTAAATGAGAATTGGTTTACCGCTAATATGTAATTAGATGTATTCTACAATTTAAATATTAATATGTGACATTGTTATATTGTTTGTTCTTTTGTGTCAATAAAATCCTTTTTAAGAATCGTTGCCTTCATACGACGTTTTGATGATACGGACGCCGCGAAAACCTGCTCGCCGTTTTCACTTGATTGTTTTATACTGTATATCACTTGCAGTCCAATCAAACAAATATGTATTGATAAAGCACCTTTCAACATCAGGTTGACCAACATGTACAAATTAATGAATGATCAATTCAAACACACATATGAGATAAACACCTACAGAAGTGACTCAGCATGACTCAGATTTGTTCTTGGTTTTGCTGTTCGGTGCTTTATACCGTCTTTGTTACCGATTTGTTGCTTTACTGTTGTATATGTTAGTTGCTCCATGTACAGCACTTTGTATGCAGCGATGGCTGTTTGAAAGTGCTCTATAAATACAGATGAGTTGAGTTGAGAAGTGAAAAATATAGCCAATAATGACTTTGTATGCTTGAGTACAGTTCTACTAGAATATAGCATATCCCTGACCGTGTTCGGGAAAACAGTTTCTATATATTTTAAAGGCTGAATTTTTGATAGGCTTAAACACTTGTATTGGATGTTAATGCTGTATACCTGTCCTGTACTGTACTATGCCATTTAGTGTAAAAAAACGTCAAGCCGTTGGAAAGCAGTGCACCAAGTGACCGCCAGATGTCCCTCTCGCAAGTGTAGTTGCCTTGACCCTATGTATTTTTAAATCAAACTTTCCCAATGACACATAACAATGCATGAGTATATTATTAACGTGGCATTTTCAAAGATTAACAAAGCATCTAAACTATGTACGCCATATTACGGGTTATGTTTCAACTACTTATGATTACATAATACAGTACTGTGTACAGGCATTCTGCATAATTGAGTCTAGTATTAAGGATTCATGTGATTTGCTTGTATTATTTCATTTGGTGATCACTTGTGTGTTCTACTATTTGGTAGTAAATTGGTACCGCCGCAGAAAAGGTTACTTTCTTACAATGGATTTAGGTTGGACTTTATTTCTTTATGCATTTTTTTTACTTTTTCACATTTTGCTGCTTCATTTTTATGTTGAGTTATGCTATTATAAATTGTGTCATGTAATGCACCGTAACTAACAGCCTTCGAATACGTTGGTATTTGATAATTCACAAATGCAAACCATAAATGAAAGCATGGACACACATAATGCATTTCTGCTATATGTGTTCACAGGTAATAGTGACGTTGACAAAAACTTACTACATTAGTTTCGAGTTAGTGGGTCAGTGATTCAAATTAAACTCTCAAGCCATGCATAGTCTTTCAAATTAGGGTTTCAAGATAAGGTTAGGCTTTAGATGAGGTTTTAAAGGCAGGGTTAGGGTTTTGAGGCTTACAGTCTACATCACATTATACTTTGTGTTCCAAATTAGGGTCATTTATTTGAATGAAGTTAAAGAAAATGGAGGTTGATGCTGTCATTCCAGAGAGTTGACATTCAGGATTTAATACACGTAAAGAACGTACGACCAAGAATCTTTGCACCCAGGAAGTCATTATTAACATTTTGTCTCCTGACATCCAAGAGGTAGGATTTAATACACGTAAAGAACATACGACCAAGCATCTTTGCACCCGGAAATCATTATTAACATTTTGTCTCCTGACATCCAAGAGGACAAGCAGCCAGGAAACCCTGCTGACCCCCGCTCACTCGAGTGCTTTAAAAAAAAGAAAGAAAGAAAAGGAGTGATGAATGGTGAGCAGTCAGAGCCAGTAAGGCTTTTTCTGCTGTTCTAAACACTATCTGAAGTGCAACCTAAATAAGATTTGTTCCACAAAATTGTATTCATTCATCATTTAACTTGAGGTCAATCAGATACTGTATTAGCCACTATGTGCAACCATGTCAATTTAATCTGCCTTCAGAATTAGAAGGGTTGGTATCGTTTAACTTGGCTGCACTCCTCCCAGTATGTGTATGTGGACGTTAGATTTATTGTATTTTTTTGGTGGGGGGGGGGGATAAAAAAAACAACGCCTTTATTAAAAACAGAAAAAAGTAAATAAAACTTCAAGAGATAAGTACTGTATGCTTTTTTTTTTTTAACCGCACGACGTACGATCATGACAGTCACGCCCTGACTACTGAGTGAACTACATTTCCCGCAGCACCGATTGGACAAGCAATGTAATGTGATCATCTGCAGCCAGCGATGGCCAAGCAGGCGTGTCATAACTAAATAACATGACGGTGTGTCTTACCTTCCATGGCAGAGGCTCCGTTTAACCCCTAGGGTTCGATCCATCCCAGGTTCAGAATCACTGCTTTAAACCAATCAGATTTTAAATTTGTCCTCACAGGCCCAGATAACTGGTGTTAACAGTGAAATCAGTATTTTTTTCCTATGTACTATGATCACGTAACAAAAATAGCAATCTATAAAGCCCCATCCTGGATTTGACTAGTTTAACCACAAAGATTCCTGACAGAATATGTAATATATAACTCCAACCACGTCAGCAGTTCTTGTGACCATCTGGATTCAATAAATTCCTTACAGGGGCATCCCAGGTTAAGAACCACTGCTTTAAACCAATCACATTTTAAATTTGTCCTCACAGGCCCAGATAACTGGCCCACAATGAAATCAGTATTTTTCCTATGTACTATGATCACGGAACAAAAATAGCAATCTATAAAGCCCCATCCTGGATTTGACCACAAAGATTCCTGACAGAATATGTAATATATAACTCCAACCACGTCAGCAGTTCTTGTGACCATCTGGATTCAATAAATTCCTTACAGGGGATAAGGTGACCACCAGTTCACGGTTTTTCCTCTTTTTCCACATCATGCAAGTTGCATTCAATACAACACTTGAAGCTTTACCGGAAGCGGATGACGGTGGTTACACTTTGATACTGTTTGCTTACCTAAGAAGAAACCTTGTACTTCAAAGCTATTGCCTACTATTGCGCAACATGTTAAACTACGCATTTGCAAAAGTGGGTGCTGCTGAGAGGAGTGGCGAAGAAGTGTGTTTGTGTGTGTGTGTGTGTGTCCACTAGGTACAACACTTGAACCTTTACCGGAAGCAGATGACGGTGGTGGTTACACTTTGATACTGTTTGCTTATCTAAGAAGAAACCTTGTACTTCAAAGCTATTACTATTGCGCAACATGTTAAACTACGCATTTGCAAAAGTGGGTGCTGCTGAGAGGAGTGGCGAAGAAGTGTGTTTGTGTGTGTGTGTGTGTGTCCACTAGGCTGTGGGGTGGTGGGGGTGG